CCCATTGTTTTGATACTATACATATTGTTCATTTTCTAATGATATCTTCTGTTCTTTAATTGAAATGTCCATTGCTAACAGCGGAGCTATCTCAGCCGACAGGCTGCTTGTATTAATGTGGGGCAGAATCTGATTTTCCACAATATACTGACTGGAATGTGAACGAAAAAATATAATAATAAATATATTAAATTGACATGATGTCTGGGTTTTCTTTCTGTACTGTTGTTGTCTTCGTATACAACTACAAAATCTAAGTGGAAAACGTGGAGTAAAATGAAACAATTTAAAATAAAATTAATCTAACATGACAAACCTATTTTTTGTGTGAAATATCCATGCAGTCAACTGCAATTTTCTTTCAAGTTGATCGATAATAAGTTTGACGGTCTTTTTGTTTTGAAGTTTAGCAAAGTCAATCCTGTTCGTTCATGACTTGTATTTATGTTACTTGATAGTAGTGTCAGTTTATCAGATCATCTTGACGAAGTCCAGAACAATCTAGATTATCTGCAGACTTTGTTATCCGGCCAGAACTACAGTTTTGATCCAGATTCGTTTGTTGGGGTGAGTAATCTCTTGAGAAACGTTATTATGTAATACTGTATTTGCTCCATTAGAAGTGTATTTTCAGTAGAAGCTCATATAAACAAACAAATTATGTTTATTGTATGCTTGATTATTAAAATATGGAATCTTGACCATAGCTCCACCTAGTATCAATATATGCACAAGTGTTTACTCTAGTAATAGAACAAATACGGTATTACTGACAATCACAGAATGTATAATGCTTTTAATATATGAAGTCAAATTTGTGTGGTCTCCGGTGCATTAACATTGACAACCACAAAGGTAGTGTAACAAATGTGGTATTGAGATCAGACAAGATGGTGTAAAATGTGATATTGTGGTCAGGGTAGTCGGTAAAATGTAGTAATGAAAATTTGGCTTGGCAGTATTAAAACTGTAGGCATATCAAAGCCAATGCAGCTGAGTATGGTACACGCCCTACCCTACTACCTCCTGGGAGTGGTGACATGGAATTCTGTTCTACTATATCGCTGGAACCCAAGTCCAAAAAAGTTTTTGTTTAAAATATGAGAGGCTTTTTGTAAAAAGAACAGATGATAATAATTGATTATGGGATAGAAAGATACTCGGTATTACGCTACTAGTTAGGTCGGAATATCGGCCAAATACTGCAGACAAATTTAAAAAATTGCTCTACCTTTTTCCAAGTTCCCATTGAGTTGAAAAATCTTTGTCAACCTTT